GTTTTAAATGACAGTTTAAGTGTCGTGATATCTTACTGTTAAGCTGTTGATGAATATTCCCAAATCTAATTCAGTTCAGCTGTGATACAAAACTGTGCAATAGTCTTCAGCTGCCCCTCATTTCTTTACATTTGTTTCCAAGGAGTCACACTTTCTTGTGAGTATTTTTTAACAGTCTTGAGCAATCGTCCTCCAGACTGTCTGAAGGTTTTACGAAGTTTTTCTTTTGACATTGACTGCATTTGGCTGCATATTGAACAAAAAGCAGTCAAAGAAGAGCTTCTATTCCTGAAGACTGCTTAAAGAAATCATAGAAAAGACTTGCCTAAAAGCATTAAGGCTGTGGTCATACCAAAAATTAACTCTTAATCTTATAAGAAGCTCACTTTATCTCTTATTCTGTATTTCCATCTATGTTCAATAAATCTCTGCACCCTTTTCCCATTTTCCAAATACGGTATAAAGAAATTAGGGAAGGTTTAAGACTTTTGCACAGAACTGTAGCTGTTAAAACAAGAACTAAATTGTATATATAAGCTATAAAAACTACAGATTCAACTTTCAAATCTCTATTGTAGTGGTTGCTGGCGCTCTACCCTGCTGTACCTGTATAATCAGTTCAGCGTGTGGCCTGAAGGTGGCGCCAGAGGTCCACTGGACCCTTCTATTGATGACATGAATTTTAGCTACATATAAACAAAAGCACGGGTTAAAAAAGATCTAAAGAATAATTGAATTGGGATGCTTTGTTGATGTGGGTTGAAATATCTCGTCTCTTGTGATTTGCAGCGTTGTCATAACTACATGACGGAGAAGCTGGGGATTCCCGTTTGGGGATCATATGTTATCTTCGGCTTGGCCACTCTGTTTTCTGGCCTGGCGTTGGGTCTGGTGAGTAATTTTGCCGCGCTTTGTCATTATGAAACCGAAATGATTCTGTTTTGAAGCTCTTACATCGTTCATCACAAATGCACACATTCCCAGTGGTTTAACGGTTAATCCTGTCTTGTCTGTTGCAGTTACTGGTGTTCATTGCAGATTTCGTTTTCCCCTCAAGAAGATTCTCTTCTCACGATTACTACCAGAGTGAGTTTTGTAATAGATTAGACTAAATACTAATTCACATTTATGTTATATACAGTAAGATACTGACTATTGCTCCAAATGCTGCTGTGCAGAGAAACAGACTATGGATCAGGCGAGATTAATCCAGCAACAAGAGGATGCCATTGAGGCTGATGGCGAGGAAGATGACGAAGAGGAGGAAGAAGAGGACCACGACGAGGTCTGGAGAAAGCGGAGAGGATCTCCCGAGGGCCGCCCTGAACCCAGGGGGCAGGCTTTCCCTGACGACGCCCTGAGGAAGCGGGTGGTGGGCAACCAGGGCGAGGAAGAGGAAGAGGACACTTAGAGAGAGAGAGAGCCTCCTCTTGACACGAGTACCGTTGAGACAGCAGAGTTGAAGGAGCCAAGTTCCTGAGCAGCAGTGTTTTTTTTGTTTGTTTGTTTCTTTTAGAGCAG